GTTTGGGGCATTTCTTTAGGAATATATAGATATAGAGGTATAGAGAATAATATACTAAAATATATATTGTATGTACAATGCATACTATATATATGTACTGTTTTTTCAGCTTTTGTGGAATTAGCAAAACAAATCATGAAAACGTCTGCCAAATGTAGCCACTGTGGTTGCAATCACACATCAAAATTGCTCCCATAGGAAAAACGTTTACCAGATGCTGTTGAATGCTTTGAAATGCTCCAATAAATAAATGCTTGTGAATTAGCCTCTCCGATAAAGGTTGCTGCACCCAGCCCGATCCTTCCTTCCATTCGGCCCAAACCTGTTCGACTCCAGCATTCTCCCTTGTGCTCTATTTCACCTGCCCAATTTTGCTTCCAGTGGTCCCTTCTGAATCCCTCATACTTTCCTGGAAAGATTCCTTGATTTTGTTTTCCCATCAGCAATCTTCTCTCCAGTTTTTGGTTTTTGTTGTTATATACCTGGCCTTCTCTTTGCTAAATTTCCTATGTTGGAAACTCCTTTAATATGGTGTCTCGGGTCAATGGAGTCCCTTTTAAAAAGTTACTGTATTGTAAATTCAATATTACAAAGAAAATCCAGTATTTTATTGCCATTTACTAACATATATTGCTTGGGCACTTTTGGTTTTTTACAGCCATAAATTCAGAAACACTGTAGTTATATGCAATTCAGTCTAGCCCTTGTGTGAGAATAAGACTTTTGCACAATGAAGAAATGTATCTCCTCCTTCCTCTTTGCAACTTTTGCATCTCCAAAAGAACTCCCTAGAGGGCTGGGGTGCTTTCCTGAATGATGAGAGATGATTTTTAGAATCTAGGAAAGAAGGAAAATGCCCCCTGACAGATGGAGGGATCTTGAATCCATTTCTTCAGTGTCTCTGCATCTGAAATTTGACTATATCCTCTTTCCAGTGCAACAAGAAACCGATCATATTATTCAGAATGATCCTCTGTACCTAAGAATGGGGTATATAAGTGGGGAAGGAGGAAACAAAGGCAAAAGAGGGAATATTAACAAGTGGTTCTCCCCTGCAGTACACACACACACAGAAAAAACAAAGTAATG